CCTACTCTAGGTTAATCAGTGTGGTCAGTGGAGAAAGTCCCTTGGAGCACAGCATATATTTGGCTAAGGAAGCATCAAAGTGGGCATGTAGTGCAGACCATGACCCTGTAGCAAGGCTAGGTTCTCCCTGAATTCCCTGCATTGAGGAGGCCAGAGGTGAGAGGAGGTTACACCAGGCTTCCAGACTGCACCTCTCAGGCCAAGTGGTAGCAGCAGACAGTGTTAAAAGCAATGTTAAGTCTTGCACCTTGAATGAGGGCAGAGTAGGCAGACCTGGGTGCTTCCCCCACCCCCAAGCAATCACTTCTCCAGGCTTTATGGAAACCCACAACTCCAGGGGTAGGTGGGAACAGCAATCCATTCTATGCATTCCTGAGTTACCTTTGTGGGAATTGGAATTTAGAGGAGAGAGGGATGGAAGAAGCGAAAAGCATTTACTGAGTTTGGTCACCTGAGTAAAGGTGGCATTTAACATCTTGGTCACCTATCTATGTATACCTATGGAGTGAGCAACAGAGTCAGATGCTTGACTGCAGGGGATCAGAAGCTCTGGCAGATGGGAATGGGTAAAGAGGGGCAGTACCTTCCCCTGCCTGCTTGACTGGACAGAGGATTTGACCACCTCTGCATCCCTCACATCTGTCATTTCTTTCACCTGACAGCTCTTCCTTTTGCCCAGAGCTGAACCACAAAACAGGAACCTAATCCAAGAACAGGTGTTCAAAACTGTCATGGTTACAGCCATCTGCTTACAGGAGGTTCACAAAACAGTCAAGCAATGGTTTGAGGACGTTAAATAAATGTGCTTCTCTAACAGAACAAGACAGGATCATTTTTGTTTTGTTTTGTTCGTGAAAATGTTTTTTTTTTTTTTAATTAATTAACTCATTTATTTTGTAACACATGTCCCTCCTTTTTTCCCCCATTAATACCCTTCTCTCCACTCCCATCCCATCTCCACCTTCACAACACTGTTGTCTGTGTCCATTGGTTATGCATATATGCATATAAGTTCTTTGGTTTATCTTTCCCCGCCCTCCCAACCCCCTCCCTCTGAGGTTTGTCAGTCTGTTCCCTACTTCCATGTCGCTGTGTATATTTTGTTCATCAGCTTATTTTGTTCATTATATTACATAAATAAGTGAGATCATGTAGTACTTGTTTTTTCTCTCTGACTGGCTTATTTGCTCAGCATAATGCTCTCCAGGTCCCTCCATGCCATCTCTTCCTTACATCTGCATAGTATTCCATTTGTATATGTGCCACAGATTTTTTATCCACTCATCTACTGATGAACACTTGGGCTGTTTCCAGATCTTAGCTATTGTAAATAGTGCTGCTATGAACATAGGGCTGTATATATTCTTTCTGGTTGATGTTTCAGGCTCTTAGGATATATTCCTAGAAGTAGACTCACTGAATCAAATGGCAATTCAATCTTTAATTTTTTGAGGAAACTCCACATTGTTTTCCATAGTGGCTGCACCAGTCTGCATTCCCATCAGCAGTGTACTAGAGTCCCCTTTTCTCCACAACCTTGCCAACACTTGTTTGGTGATTTGTTGATGGCAGTCATTCCCGCAAGTGTGAAATGATACCTCACAGTTGTTTTAATTTGTATATCTCTGGTAATTAGTGACTGTTGAGCATTTTTTTTCATATGTCTCTGGGCCATTTGCATGTCCTGTTTGGAGAGGTGTCTATTCAGGTTCTCAGCCTATTTTTTAATTGGATTGTCTTCCTTTTGTTGAGTTGTATGAGTACTCTTTCTATTTTGGAAATTAACCTCTTAGCTGATGTATCGTTGGCAATTATGCTCTTCCATACAGTGGGTTCCCTTTTCATTTAGATGGTTGTTTCTTTTCTTTTCTTTTTTTTTTTTTTTTTTTTTTTTTTGGTATGTGCCCCTAGCAGGAACTGAACCTGGGACTCCCTGGTGGGCAGGCCGATGCTCCAACCGCTGAGCCACACCGGCCAGGGCAATGGTTGTTTCTTTTAATGTGCAGAAGCTTTTTAGTTTAATGTAGTCCCATTTATTAATTTTCCTTTGTTTCCCTTACCCAAGGCGATGTATCCGTGAAAATTCTGCTACATATGATCTCTGAGATTTTGCTGCCTACATTTTCTTCTAGGATTTTTATGGTTTCATGAGTGACATTAAAGTCTTATATCCTTTTTGAGTTTATTCTTGTGTGTGGTGTAAGTTGGTGGTCTAGTTTTATTATTATTTTTTTTGCATGTACCTGTCCAATTTTTCTAACACCATATATTAAAGAGACTGTCTTTACTCCATTGTATGGTCTTGCCACCTTAAGACAGAATCATTTATTTGTCCAACTTAAACGCTGTCCCAGGAGAAAAAGTAGGATATTATCTCTCCAAAATAAATAAGATCAGACAAGTGAACATTTCTCCATGGACCATATGGAAACATGTGTATCTTGTTGAGAAAAATTCTACTTTTAGATGTTTAAATACCTTAGCAGGTTTTGAAAACTATTTCCTACGTGGCCAATAGTATTCATTTTCAGGGTTTTTTTTGTTTTGTTTTTGGTACGTGCCCCTAGCGGGAACCGAACCCGGGACACTCTGGTCCGCAGGTTGATGCTCCAACTGCTGAGCCAAATCGGCCAGGGCTAGAATTCATTTTCTATGTGGTAAAAATGAACCAAAATTAATGGTGCCTTCCAATATTATGTGAAATATTTTTTTTATAAAGCATGCCCACTCTTTTTTTTTTTTTTGATGCTGCTTCTCGCACTGAACTCTTGTTGTATTTTCTTACTATAAAATAAATGGTGATGACAGCTTTAAAAACAATACTGAGGAAATAGGGAACAGATTAACAAACCTCAGAGGGATGTGGGGTGGGAGGGGTGGAAAGAGATAAACCAAAGAATTTATATTGATATATGTACAATCAATCTATACAGACATTAGGTTGGGGAAAGCAGGAGGAGGGTAGGAGCAAGGAGGCGGGGCAGTCAAAGGGGAAAAAAGGGGGGACATCTGTAATACTTTCAACAATATAAATAAATACATAACAATACCGAGCAGTGTTTCAGAAGTACAGCCCCACTCCCACCTCTTGTCTCCTTTCTGACATTGCCACTTACCTATACTGGAGTAGGGGCCCAACTTCAAGGGAAATGATGGACACTAGGTGACCAGGGCTTGGAGGTGGAGCAAGGGGAGAGTGTCCAGTTGCCCAGAAGAGGGTGACACAATTCCCCAACAAAAGAAGGTAAAAGTTGACCCTGGCTAGTTTGGCTCAGAGGTTAGAGCATCAGCTTGCGGTCCAGAGAGAAGACCTGGGTTCGGTTCCCGCTAGGGGCGGGTACCTCGGTTGCAGTTTGTCCCTGGCCCTGGTTGGGTTGTGCAGGTGGCAGCCACTCGATGTGTCCCTTTCAGGTCGATGTCTCTCTCTCTCTCTCTCTCTCTCTCTTTATCTCCCCCCCCCCACTCTATCTGAACAAAAAATGGAAAAGTGTCCTTAGGTGAGGATAAAAAAAAAAAAAAGAAGAAGAAGGTAAAATTTGACAATTGCCCAAGAAGATGCATCCCCCTCCCTGTAACCAGAAAAAGGCAAATTCTAACAGGGAAAGGGGGTTACTTTTTGCCTCTAGGATTACAAAGACCAAAAAAATGAGTGACAGGACCTGATGAGGCAGGGTGAGATGGGAGTGGGGGTAAATCAGGATGCTCGTGTTTTTTGTGAGAGTGGAAACTGGAGACCCAAGCTTACTGGAGATGTGGACCTCACGTGACCAGGAGCTGACGTGGGCAACGGTACTTAAAGCCCTGACCGCCGTCATCCGTCCTCCTCTGGGTACCAACTCTGTTTCGCTGCGCACTGCCGTGCGTATAACCCAGGCGAGGAGGAGGAGGAGAAAATTCCCCCAGATCCGGGCAGGTGGGTGTGAGGGTGGGCATGACCTGGCACCCCTGAAAGGGGTAATCCCGAGATGCAGGAGTTTGAGGCCGCGGGCACCCCCGCCTCGCCAGCTCCTGGCCGGCTTTCCAGACCCCCGAGCTCAATCGCAGTTCATTTTGGTGGGCCGCAGGCAGAGGGGGAGGGGAGGGACATAAAGACTGATATCCTTGCGGAGAATTCGCTTACTTCCTCTCCCAGCCCATATGTTTTGTTTTTGTTTTTGACACTCAGACCCTGCACCCCACATGCCGTCTTGTTTTGAGAAAAGCGGGGAAGAGAAATAAACGTGGCAGTGCAATAAGGCCAGTGGAGAGGTTGGGAAAGGCTGACCGGAGGGGCACGCTATTTAGAAACAATCTTGCTAGTTCACTCACACCCTCACTTTGCACATACCTTCCCCCACCTCACCACCGTGCTCGCACCCTCTCATTTCCCGTCGGCTCTCTGTCCTTTAGGGGTGTTAAGAAATGGGGGTGCCAAGCTCTGTAGGGAGATGGAGGGTTTGGCGCTGTCTGGGCTTCACAGGAGGGGGGACCCTGAAAGAATCTGATATTAAACCGCCGTACTAACTCCCAGCCCGCTTTCCGGACACCTCTGGCCCACACAATCCTTCACCTCCGTTTTTGCAGTCCTGGAAAAAGGAGTTCGGGTACTCTGGAGGGAGAAATGGCGGTTAATATGGTATTTGGGTGGGGGGTGGGAGGCGGAGCCCAGAGCCGAGAAACTGGAAAATCACAACCCTCAAATCGAGAGGGCAGACACTGGGGTTCCTGTTCTGTAGGTTAATGCCAGTTCTGGGAGGCTGGGGACTGAAGGACGAGTGGTCACTGGAGGGGGACAAGATTGCTTGGCAGTAATTCCCTGTCCCGTGTACCGTCTAGCTCTCTGGGCACCCTCGCCCCGCCCCCTCCTGCTTCGGTGCAGGGGAAGGGGTGTGGCTGTCTGGCCCGAAGAAATGGCTGACAGGGAGGCGGGGCAAAGGGAAGGAGGGGTTGAGTGCCTGGGGAGACTGCGCAAGAGTGGCGGTTTGGGGTGGGAGAAGGGGTGAGAAGAATTGAGAGGTGGAACCATTTGTCATTCTGGTATGTGACTGCTAAAAGGCAATTGTTGGGACGCGTCCTGTGTTTGTACCATCCACCAGGCTCCAATGTCGGCTATTTTTCTGCCCTTCAGTCTGTCCTTAAGATGAAGTTTTAACTGAGCGGAAGGAGGGAGGAACAGCCCTGAATCCTTTCAGGTTAGTGTGGGGGTGAGAACTGTGGGAACCCCTTATGTGGGTGTGGCAGAAACCAGAGCAGATCTGTGACCAGAGGTTCCTCTTCCTCCCTCTTCTCCTTCTTTATAAGATACTCTTACCCTGGGCCTGTCCTTTTCCATGCAAGGAAAGGGGTGTGGCATCCGCCTTCTTAATTAATGGTTAGAGAAGGAAGGGATACTGGTGGAAAGAAGAGGCCTGTGAGAGAAAAACTTGGCCCACAGGGGCTCAAATCAGGAAAAGAAGCAGAATCCATCTACCAAAGACCCCAAAACACCCTTTCTGGGATCTCTCCACAGGTCTGTCTGCTTTTTGAGCCCTGCACACCTACAAGCCTGGTGGAGAAGGGCAAACGCTCCTGCTCACAGCAGATTGGTATGTGAATATGCATCATCTGAAGACCCTTGGGGTCATTGGGGGAGGATCAGAGCGGAATCTATGATCTCTACCGAGGTTTCTGCTCTCCATCAGTTTCCTGACGTCAGTACTGTCTCTCATTCCCCATTTGGGTGCTGGGAAATTGTGTGTTTTGGCATTGGGTAGGACAGGCTAAGGATGAAGATGTAGAAAACTTTAGACAACCAGGGTCTTCAATCAGCAAACACAGGCCTGGACATCTATGCCTGGGTACTAGCTAACCCACCAAGTATTATGTCCCCCAAACTCTCCTCTAAGTAGGCCTGGTTAGGCACCAAGTGAGCCAAAGCCATAAGCCTCATTTCTATCCTTTACCTCAGGTTCTTGCTTGGCTTGCAGCCTCTGCAGAACTTGTGAGCCTGAGTTGAAGTGCCTTGCCCTGACGTGCACACATCCTGCTTGGGCAAGCCAGCTCCACGCCCAGATCAGAGAATCATTCCAGCTGCACCATGAGCCGAGTTCGGGATGCTGGCTGTGTAGCTGCTGGGATAGTGATCGGGGCAAGTGCCTGGTACTGTGTCTACAAATACACCCGGAGAAGAAACCAGATGAAGAAGAGACTGGCTAAGCCTAAGACCAGGGCTCTGGCAGGGACTGGAGCCAGGGCTAGATCCGGACTAAGGGTTGGATTCACAATCGACCTTGGTCCAGGATTCAGTCCCCCATCCCCAGTCCTCACTGGAACAAAGGACAGGGCCCAGGATGAAGCCTTTGCCCTGGACGCAGCTGCAGCTGAGGTAGTAGCCCCAGCTGCACCCAGTGCTGAGACTCAGAGTGGGTCTGGAAGTCAGGCCCTGGAAGCAGAGGGGGCCTGGGTTGGGCCTCAGACTGAATTAGTAGTTGGAGTGGAAGTGGCTTCTACAATGCCTCCTGGGGAGGCAGAGGCCCTCATGGCTGCAGAGGCCCCCACAATAGTAGGGCCTCCCAAAATGGCAGACACCCCTGGCACAGCAGAAGCTCCTAGGGCGCCAGCAGTGCCTCCTGAGATACCAGCACCTACTGAGGCAGCAGCACCTACCGAAGCGGCAGAGGTTCCTGTACTGGCAGCGCTTTCTGAGGCTTCAGAGGCTCTAGGGACCTCAGGGTCCCCAAAAACAGCGGCAGCTGCTAAGAAAGCAACTCCTGGAGCTCATACTGGGGCTATACCTAAGGCCGGGTCAGCAACTGGAGCTGTACCCAAAGGTGGAGCTAAGGGTGGAACCAGGTCCCGGACTGGAGGCAAGGGCAAGGGCAAGAAAAACAACAAGGTTGAAGTAGACCAATTGGGGCTGGGATTCCGCCCTGGGGATGGGGCTGCAGCAGCTGCTGCAGCCTCTGCTAATGGGGGACAGGCTTTCCTGGCAGAGGTCCCTGATTCTGAGGAAGGGGAGTCTGGGTGGACTGACACAGAGTCAGAGTCAGACTCTGAGCCTGAGACCCAACAGAGAGGGAGAGGGAGGAGACCCGTTCCCATGCAGAAGCGCCCCTTTCCTTATGATATTGATGAAATTCTGGGTGTCCGTGATCTCAGGAAAGTACTTGCTTTGCTTCAAAAATCAGATGATCCTTTCATCCAACAGGTAGCTTTGCTCACTCTGAGCAACAATGCCAATTATTCATGCAACCAAGACACAATTCGAAAATTGGGAGGCCTCCCAATTATTGCAAATATGATCAATAAAACTGATCCCCACATTAAAGAAAAAGCATTAATGGCCATGAATAACCTGAGTGAGAATTATGAAAATCAGGGCCGGCTTCAGGTGTACATGAATAAAGTGATGGATGATATCATGGCCTCAAACCTGAACTCAGCAGTACAGGTAGTTGGACTAAAATTTTTAACAAACATGACTATTACTAATGACTACCAGCACCTGCTTGTCAATTCAATTGCAAATTTTTTTCGTTTGTTATCTCAGGGGGGTGGAAAAATCAAGGTTGAGATTTTGAAAATACTTTCAAATTTTGCTGAAAATCCAGATATGTTAAAAAAGCTGCTCAGTACCCAAGTGCCATCATCATTTAGTTCACTCTATAATTCTTATGTGGAATCAGAAATTCTTATTAATGCTCTTACTCTATTTGAGATCATCTATGACAATCTCAGAGCAGAAGTATTCAACTACAGGGAATTCAATAAAGGTTCCCTTTTTTACTTATGCACTACATCTGGGGTATGCGTTAAGAAAATTCGAGCCTTAGCAGATCACCATGACCTCTTGGTGAAAGTGAAAGTTATAAAACTAGTTGACAAATTCTAATTGGCTTTGTGCTCTCAAAAGACTTGAAGAAATTTCTTGGTTTTGCAGTCTGGAAGCAATGAAAATTGAAGTTACTGCTCCTCCACTTGCTCATATAGTAAAGTGATCCTTTCAGCTGCCAGTTTTGAATAATGTATCATCCAGAGTGATATTATCTGTGACAGTCTCCAGCTTTAAGCTGAACCATTTGATAAATACCAAATAAATAGTCCTCTTGTACTGAAAACACATTTGTGACTTTAATCGTGCTGCTTGAATGGAAATATTTTTACTCTGTGAATTGACAGTGAACTTGTCTATCATTAATAGCCTACACTTCTATCATTTTTTTACTTGAATCTATCCACCAAAGACTTCATTTGTGTATCATCAATAAAGTTGTATGTTTTGACTAACAAAAAAAATGTTCTCATGCGTCAATTTAAAACCTAACTGGAGAATAAGGTGCATAAATAGAGAAGGACTGCTAACAGTACCTAGAAATATACCCATTGTGAAATATGCTGTCTGGCTAAATGAAGCAGAAGTTGCTATAAAGCTTCAAGGAGGAAGGGCACACTTAAGCTGGACCCTGGAGAACAGCATGAGAAAACATAATGGCATTCTGGAAGGGGAAAATGGCTTGAAGAAAGGCACAGAGGTGGGAAATCTTCCTGTGATAGGAAGGTAACCACCTTGACTGGAATGGGAACTGTAGGAAGAGTAATGAGACAGAAAGGTGGAAATGTAGGGTAACAAAAGTTTAGGGGAGATCCTGACCCCAAGCTGAGATATTAAAATATCCCGTCATATTCTGGGAGTTACTGAATATTTTGACCAAAAAAAAAAAAAAGAAATTTGGTGGCAATGTGCAAAACAGATTGAAGCTGGTCTGAGGTTAGATGTGGAGACTGGAAACATTTGTTAGGAACTTATGATAAACCAAGAACAAGATGATGATGAGTGAAGTAGGGTGGTGACTATAGCAACTGGTAGGGAAGGATGGTAATAAGAGACTCTTACCAAAAAAGTAAGGGTGTCTTATTTGGCTGTAGGTTGACAGAGAGGGAGGACTGCATAATCTGGTACAAGTCTGACAGAAAATTATCTTTCTTGGGCAATTCTGGTGACCAAGTAATGCCAAAATGAGTTATCATTATGAATGTTGAGGAAAAGTAGTGTGACAGATACAGTGACTCTTGGTGCAAAGAGTGTTTTTTTCCCCCTAGGTTTAGAGGACTAGGACAGCCTTCTTTTAGAAGAGGGACGGTGGTGAGACCCTTATGGAAATCCTACCCCACCCTTGAGTTCACTTAAGAGCAGATTCATCTTTCTTCCTCTCCTTCCTGGTCCACTGAAACAATGAAAGAAGAAAGTGGGAAAAGTCCCAGAGATTTTCCATACCCAGCCCACATCCTTGCCACTCCTCACAAAATCTTCATTTGTGTTCAAGTGTGTGGTTGGCTGTGGCAGGGATAGCAATAGGGACTCTGGGAAGTCAGGCACATAGAAAAGGGACAGATTGGTGGTATATATTTGTACAACTAATCTGGAAAATCATTTGGTAATCTTCATAAGAAGCTTCAAAGATGTACACACCTTTCAACCAAGCATTCCACTTGTAGGATTTTTTCCTAAAAAAAAAATAATCAAACAATTGTACACAGAGGAATATATAAGGATGTTCATTTGAGCACTGTTTCTAACAAAGAAAAATTAGAAGCAACTTAAATGTCTAACACTATGGAATTGGCTAAACAATAGGTGGTATGCCCACACAGTAAAATATTATGCAACTATTAAAAACTGTTGTGCTTCACCCTGGCCAGTTTGGCTCAGCGGTTGGAGTATCACCCGTGGACCAAAGAGTTGTGGGTTTGATTCTGGTCAAGGGCATGTACCTTGGTTTTGGTTCAGTACCCGGCCCTGGTCTGGGTCATGCAGGAGGCAGCCAATTGATGTGTCTCTCTCACATTGATGGTTCTCTCTCTCTCTCTCTCTCTCTCTCTCTCTCTCTCTCTCTCTCTCCCTCTCTCTCTCCCCTTCCCTCCCACTTTATCTAAAGATAAATGGAAAAATATCCCCAGGTGAGGATTAAAAAAACTTGCACTTCTATAATATTGGCAAGAAAAGACATTTGTTTGCCAAATGTAAGAGCTGTGGCATCAGTCAAAAACCACTTCTGCAACTGAAAGTGGGTGAAAATTCTTTCAGATATTTATTATGCAATCTCTGTATTTTTACACAGTGCTGGAATCATATTGTACATCAGTGGTTCTCGATGTACAGGCTGCTGCAGGTTCCTGAGACTATAAGGTCAAAATTATTTTCAAAACAATACTAGTATGTTAGTTGCTATTTTCACAAGGTTAACATTTGCAGTAATGGTGCAAAAGGAACAGTGAATATAACTGCTGGTGCTTTAGCATAGATCAAGGCAGTGTCCCCAAACTGTACTAGTAATGATTGCTTCCCTTATAGTCACACACTCAAATTTTTTAATCTAGTTATATTTTGAAATGTTCTTAATGGAGTGCATGTTTCTTTAATATTCTTTAATAAAATAGAAAGTGTGCACAAAGCACTAATCTACATAGCTTAATAACATGATTGTCTCAAAGAAAACTATTTGCAGTCATTTGAGTTGTGCTCTGAATTAGCTGATTTTTGTGTGGAACACTATTTTTACTTGAAACAATGACTGGCAGACATTTTCTAACTTGGGTATTGGGCAGACATTCCTTGAAAATGAATAAAGTGAACCTTCAAAAACAACAACTGGCCCTGGCCGGTTTGGCTCAGCGGTTAGAGCGTCGGCCTGCAGTCCAGAGAGACCCGGGTTCGGTTCCCGCTAAGGGCACGTACTTCGGTTGCAGTTTGTCCCCGGCCCTGGTTGGTCGTGCGGGTGGCAGCCACTCGATGTGTCCCTTCACGTCGATGTTTCTCTCTCTCTCTCCCTCCCACTCTATCTGTACAAAAAATGGAGAAATATCCTCGGGTGAGGATAAAAAATAAAAATAAAAAAAAAAAAACAACAACTGACAATATTTGTCACCAACAATAAAATTTGAGCTTTCAAACAAAATTAGAATTTTGGAAAATTTGCATACAGAACTCAAGGCTTAATAGCTTGTAATAGTTAAGGATTTTTCTGAAGAGACAAGTGGTGATAATAATGAAGATGAAAGCTTTTTTTTTTCTTTTTATCCTTTTAGGACAACTTATGAAAGACTTTTGGGCCTAATATTGATCTTAGTTTTACTGTGACTATTGTAACCCATATGATGTAGAACATGTGATTTAATAAAGAATATAATTGCTGTGGTAACAAGATAACCCTGCATGAACCTAGACCTCAAGATTGTTTGAACCATTAAGAAGGAGAATCTGAAAAGATGTCAATTCTGAAATAGTAAAGTTGTATTCTGGATGAGGGAAAGGTAACTCACATATTGAAGATGGATGCATCAGCATCTCTTGGCTTGATCCTAGCTATTCAGGTAATCCAAACTGCTTCCTTTGCTCTGATTAGCAGTGGAAACTTCCATTCCCTTCAGATGAAACATATTCCCATGCAGAGATATCTAGCCTGGCCTTATGAATGAGCTAAGGATCACAATAGGCAACTATTTCATTTCCTAAAATCTAAGTTTTGCATCTTAAATTACATCACATGTGAAAAATCAATGGCATAGTCCAGGTGTGCTGAGATTTAAAAGGGTAGATCTTTGGAAAGACTCAACTTAATACAATAATAATAATAGGCACCAGAAATTAAGTACTGGCTATATAGTATTCTGTTATTCCTGAAGTGTGACTGTTGAAATATTCCTTAGACATTCTGTATGATAGTTTTTACTTTTTACATTTTGTGTCCAGGGCATGGGTGAAGTGGGACAGTTCTCAACCATGTTTTCAGTGAATATTCCCGCCTTCCTTACTTTAATTTATTGGTCTAGGTAAGCAGTTGGATCAATAAATGATCATGTTCTTTTAAAAAAAAATAATGTGAACAGATAAATGCAAGGACTGATAACACAGGTCTGTCATTTTAGTGGTAAAGCACAAGGATGAAATGATACAAACTTCTTCTCTTGAAGTCCCTGGAGCTGCACTTGTTTCCACCCTTTATCAGTCCAAGTTATTCAGTTTTTCCTTTTTATGGACCCTGAGAAAGAAGATACCTACTAAGAAAGGCTCCTGGTGGCTAACTGAGTTTAAATTAAAAATTTTTTAAAAAGGAGAAGCTAACAGCCATTTCTATACATCGGCCTCTCTCACCCAAGCCATGTTTTAGGGAGAAGCCTAATACTAAATTGCCTGCCTCCAGCACTGGATTGCCTACCTGCACTGTATTCCTGCCATCTGAGCTTACTCTTGTAAAGGAGTTTCTGAAATTATATTTCAACCAATAGGACTGAGACTTTTCCTATCCAATTGGAGCTATTTAGCTATATCCCCATTAGCATCTTCACTGACCAATCAGAGCAGCTACACTGTGACCAATCAGGCCAGTGCTTTGGGGGCCAATCAAACTGCAAGAATTTAGAGTCCTCATTTGCATGAGGACAAACCAATCAGGGACCAGAGACAGGAACTTCTGTCTATATAACTCAGCTCACCTCCAGGGGCGTGCACTTTCCCTTTCCACTAAAGACTGAAAACTGTGTTTCTCTGACTGGAGCTGAAACACGGAAGACTTCTCGCTGGACCAGAGCAGAGCACAGCAGATTGGAGCAAGTGGAGCAGACCCGAACAGAGCAGAGCTGTCTAGCCCAAGAGGGGCCTCAATCAAGGGATGCCTGACCCCAGAGCCTCCTTATAACTTTCCTGTTCCACAGCCATGCTGATTCATAATTGAGCTGTAATACTATTGATATGTTACACAGCCATGCTGTGTCACAATTGAGCTGTTTGCACTAAATAAAGTTTTTTTCTTTCTTGCACCCCAAATTGGGGATTCCTGTTGATGTTGAATTGGTACCAACGACCATCAGTTGACATTCTCTTGTAAGGTATATAACAATAACCTTCCTAAAATTCCCTTTTTTTTTTTACGTAAATAAAGACTAGAGAGTAAGACCAGAAATGGGGTAGTAAGCAATAGAGTCTCAAGAAAACATGGGATATTTAGGTTGAGGTGAGCAAAGTGCAAATGAGATTTCATCCCACCATCTGGGTTTGAAATCTAATAGCCTACGGTTAACTGAGAGCTTTCCCTCTTACAATAGGTTCCAGATAACAAGGAAGTTGTTCTTATAGAATGATTTCATGGAGAAGAATTAGGTGGGATCAATTTTTCCCCCCTAAGGACACTGAGCAGCTTCCAGTGAAAACAATGGGTAGACTAAATTATGGA